ACACACACACACACACACACACACACACACACACACACACACACACAACTCAGAAAGCTCACAGACAGCAGTCACACAGACATGTTTATGTCCTGGTAATAACTGTTAACTGGAGGAGTCAAGTTCTGATAAGCAGCCACTGCTTTCATCATTTGATTCTTTGAATTTCACACACTCGGAGAGGAGAATCCCACGCTGGTTTGATGTCCCCGCCTGCCTGAATAAGCTACTTATCACTTATTTTATCTCCTACTCTGAGCACAACAACCTTCTCTTGTCTGTTAGTTTTTAAAATAAACGATGATAACATTTAGGAATGCTATGCAGTCCACTCCTAATCTTACTTGCAGTAACAGTTTCAACAAAATCTTTGTGGATGTAAAAAGCACAAAAGTAAGATTGTACTTGATGCAAACAAAGTCTAAAGGCAAAACAGTAACAGCCTTCAACGCAAGGGAACATTTGATAATGGACTTCTGAGGAAGTGGTTCGGCACTTAATCACAAAGATAGAGTACAGTATGTTCACGAGCCTCAGTTTTAGTATAAGCAAATTTACATGGAACAAAACAGTGTGATTGGAAAAGAAGAAGTTGACTGCGGAGTGAACTCGTCAAAACGAGGAACAGCAAGGTGAACTAAAATCAGTTTGTTAGGCTGAAAATATGTGGAAGGAAATGATTTGTTCAAAAGAACTCAATAATTCACATCCCAACCTTTAGTAAAGTGAGGACGATATTATCTCCTCTGGCTTAAGAAATAACAACAGGTGGGTTGAGTCTGAATGCACCTTAAAGGGTCATTCACCCAAATGACAAACAGGATATGTTTTCTAACCATGCAGCTAGTATTTAGCCATGCGAGCACATAGCAATCTGTTGATTAACCACTTTGGTTTACACTGAAATATCTCGACAACTATTCAATGGATTGTCATTAAATTTTGTACACAGTCATGTTCCCCAGAGGATAATTCCTATTGATTTTGAAGTACCTCTGATTTTTCCTTTAGTGCCACCTTTAGATTGGCATTTGTGATTTTGAGTGAAATGTCTTGACAACAACTGGATAGATTATCATGAAATTTGATACATTCATGGTCCCCAGAGGATGTAAAGTAATACCTTTGGTGATTTTTACCTTTTGTCTAGTGCCATCATCAGTTCAATATTTAAATTCCTACAA